GTGCTGTGCTTTAACCCATTATGCCGCCAAGGAGGGGCCATCCCTGATATTTTTTACCTTCTCCAAAGTTTTTGTCTTTTCTAGAAAGTTACATATTTGGTATAATACAATACATATCCTTTTCAAATTGGTTTCTTTTATTTAGTAATATGCAGTTAACATTCCCCTGTTTCTTTTCATGGCTTGATATCCATTTTTTATTTTTTAGTTGAATGATACTCCATTATGAATAAACACTCATGTGCAGGTTTTGTATGGACATAAAATTTTAATTCATTTGAGTAAATACCAAGAGTGATTTTTGTGTTATAGCAAAATACACTAAAATTGTACATTTACACTGAAACTATACAACTGACATTAAGTACAACCACATGTTGTGTAACCATCACCACTATATAGCAGTTTTTTATCACCTAAATAAAAGCCCTGTTAAACTGTCCAAGTATTACTTTTTAAATTAACTAAAATTTAAAATTAAGTTCCTTGGTTCTCCTTGGTGGTGCAGGGGTTAAAGACAATGCTATCAAGCTATCACCAGCCACTGGCGCAGAAGTTTGATCCTCAGCCAGCCTGCCAGGGAGGTGACATACGGTTCTGCGGACCTCTCCTGTCCCACCCGCTGTCCCCTCAGCAGTGTATTTCAGTAGATCTGCCTGTTCCTCTCCCCACTATTCTGGTGAATTCTCTCACACATACCCTCCCATCTCTAGCCTACACCCCAGTTATTGTATGCATAAATAAATCTTTTTTAAAAAAGTTCCTTGGACACATCTAGCCACAATTAAGTGCTCAGTAGTTACTGGTTAGTGGCTATTGACTGGTCCAGGTTTAGGGGAACAGAATTTAGGCACAAGTAATAACAAATACAAAACTTTTTTTTTTATTACAAAAGTTTATTTTTGCATCATTTTGTACATTTTTTTTTTCATCTCGATTGTAATCCCCGCAGGTTTCCCATCACCAAATCATCCGTGTGCCATCACCATAATCCCATGCATTTCTCTTCCCCCCACCCCCCGTTTTTGATCCCATTTCCCACTCCACCCCC